TTTGCTCATAGATCCAAGTTGGTTTTTTTCAGCCAGCACTTTACACAAAAGTAATGCCTCTCAGGGCTTCTATTCGTTAGCTTCGGTTCCTCCCAATATATCTCCTTGGCTTTCTGCTCCTCTGTTTCTGTGGAATTTCTCATAGCAGTTCTCTGTCACACACATGCAGACCTACCAAATCAATGCTGTAGTCTTTGAGCTTACTATGTGAGTTCCCTGGATAATCCTTTGAACCATATGGTTCAGCTCCTGCTCAAGTTTTCTCTGCAGCCAACCACCCGTTGGCACACTGGTCCTTTGGCTATTTGAGCATTCTGCTCCATAACAGAGTTCACTTGGTTTTTGCATTCATCCTGAATGAGAAGCAGTTGTTTTAGCCACCAGTTTCAAAGGGGTATAATCCAGTCCATAACAAGTGCAAGGCAAACTGCTTATGGATGCAGACAGAGCGTTTGTGTGCATTAATGGGAGTACAAGTGGTTGCCTGACATACAGGGTATTTTTGGTAAGTCAGAAATAAGCAGGCACTTTCGTGAACAGTGCTTTTCAATATAGAAAAACTGTCCATCTTTCAGTGAGCATCACAAATTCCCTTTGCTTATTTTGAATAAGTAGCATGAGGCCAATAACATCTGGGTTCACAAGGATGTCAGTTTTAAACATAGCAGCCCAAATCCCTGCATTGTATAAATCAATACAATCCAGGAAAGCAGTGTCGACTTGCACCTAGCTCTGGTCTGGCCTGGCAAGAACTGATAATGTTATTGTACTTTCTCTTTTCAAAGCAGAATTAACCTGTGACCAAAAAAGCCCATTGCTGCTTAAGAAAAGGATTACTCTGTTGTCACTTTTCCTGCAAGGGTGTGTGCTGAAATAACAGCCAGAGTCTCTTTTCTCATTGCCAGTTGTGAATTCAGGCCCAGGGTAATAAGTGTAAATATAATAAGCTTTTCACTCATGTCAACCCTCAAGTATTAAGAGGGCCTTAAAAGAAAATCCCTGAGTGAGGCTGGGATCCCATCTTAAGCAATCAGGATGTTCCTTGGCAGCTGCTGCCTGGTTGATGAGGATTCAAATTGTCCCCATGTAGGGAGTAGCTTCATTCTATAATTAAACCACATTCTACTTAAGAAAAGGTAAGGCAAATCAGATCACCTATTTTCTGAATATTTTAATCCTGTCCAAAAGAAAAAAAATATATGCAAAGAAAATCTGTTCTGTCAGGTGCTTGGTGGTTGGTTTGACCTTCTGATATGCAACACTAGGACTGCAAGTGTTTATAATTATAGCTCAGACTTTGCCTAGATCAATTTGTGCCCACTGAGGAATGTGTTTATGAAGTGCACTTTACTTACTTATTTTTGTTTTAGGGGACTACGGGCTACCACAGCCTTGGTATTTCCCTGTGCAGGAATCTTACTGGCTTGGCTCTAGAAACCCAAAAGCTGAGAAAACAGCAACTGCTGATGGTGAGTTCTTTGAAAACTTTGGTGTTTAGAAATAACTTCAAAACCACTGATCCGCTTAGAGGTGACTGCGTAACATTTCCATTACCTGAGCTGCTGCAAAGATTAGAGACAGGCATACACTGGGAATCTCAGCAGGTGCCTTTGAACTTGGAGCAGCCTGCTATTATTAGAGTTATTAGAGGTGAGTCACCGTTCCATCTGAGAGCCTTTAAAGCATGGGTTAAGAAGCAACATCAAACCCCCACTCTCTAACCAACACCTTTTGAGACATTCAAGGAGTTCTTATTGCCCAATACAGCATTTGTGAAATGAGTCAAAATGAAATACAATGATCTTATTTACACTGAGGCTCCCCCATCTTTCTAAACCTGATTCTTTTCTGTCTAGTTTGACACTAATTTAAGTGTGTTTACTTCGGGGTTTGTAAGCAAGATCAAAATTGATGCCACCCTTGGACCAACTTGAATGAGTACAAAAGTCATTCAAGTCACTTCTGCAGATTTTCTTCTGTGCTTTGATACTGGAGTAGTTAAGAACAACATGTGGGTGATTGTATTTAAATAGGAATTAATGCAGAATGATGATTAATGTCTGGAATAGAGGCTTGCTGAAGGTGGTGTTTTGAAATCTGTCTTAAAGTTACAAGGTAACAGTGAAACCAATCAAAATGACAGATGAAGAAATAATTTCTTCAGTCTTCTCCTTACCATCCTTACCCTTCATCAACTCAGACTGCTGACAAGGCAGTCTCATCTCAGGGTGATAACCTATAAACTAGAAGGGAGTTAATCCTTTCTGTGAACATGCTGATAATACATCCACTGCTCACATGTTTTGATCGGAAAAGAGGAGGTTATAACATCGGGTTTTTTGAAGAGGCTTTGCCTTCTGGTGCATTCTGAGGGAATGAACAGGTTTTCCTTTAGACTTGCTGTGCGGGTATTCAGAATGGTAGAGGCTTGTCTAGATATTAAGGAGTCTGTTACCTGCTTCGCCTTTGCAAATGCTGCCCACCAGATTAGAATTTGACTGTATAGGAAGGAGGAGGAAAGAGCCAAAGGAGGACTTGGAGCATGTGTATAGATGAATGGAAAATTTCCAAAGACCCAGATAAGATGTCAGCCACTACATATCACTGACTTTCTGTGGAATTTGGGCATATCCTGCACCAGAGCTCCTTTGAATATCTCAAATTTAGAGCACAGTTACTTAAAGGATTTTAACATTTTCTGTTTATTTAGTTTAAGCCTAAATTTAGTAGAAGTGAAATCCATTTTCTGGTTATCTTAATGCCTCATAAGTTCTGTGCGTTCTTTAATATTTTTCCAATACAAGGCAGACTCATGATTTCTTAGTACCCAAACTAAAGGTTCTGAGAAGGCTTGAAAGCCCCAAAATATTCAGTTGCTCAGGTAGGTCAGCAACAGAAAAGTTTATGGCTACTATTTTATTGCCAGGTCTTTTTATTTTATGAGGTTTTAATAGCATTTTTTAGATTACTTAGATAAAATATTTTGCTTAAGTGAAGCCTAGAGTTTATTTTGTAGGTGACGTTACATCGGATAGCTGAGCTGATCTAACAGCTCACTGTTGAGAAAAAATGGGGCAATCTTGCAGTCCCTTCCATAGCCCTCATCCTAGTTCTGCCGATGCTTGTCAGTCCCTGGTAAGATTAAGAGCTAGATCCTTCTGGAAGCCATTCCCAAGAACATGAAGGACAAGGTGAAAGGAAATAATGTACAGGATTTACCAAGAGCAAATCTTGCCTAACCAGTTTGATTTTCTTGTGTGATGACTGGATCAGTGGACAAAGGGAGAGCAGTGGATGCCGTTTAACTTGACTTTAACAAGGGCTTTAGCATGGACTCACATAGTATTCTGATAGCCAAATTGATGAGATACAGGCTGCTTGAGTGGACACTGAAGTGGGTTGAAAATTGACTGAACTGTTGGACCCGAAGGATTGTGATCAGCAGTACAAAGCATAACTGGGGACCGGTTATTAGTGGCAGGGGTCTGACAGGAACTGACACTGGACTGAATACTGTTTAATGACTTTATTAACAGCCTGAGTGATGGGATAGAGGGCACCATAAGCAAGTTTGTGGAAGATACCAAATTGGAGGGAACAGTGGAAAAATGTCTTTATAGGAACCTCATGGAATTCAACAAAAGTAAATGCATAATACTGTGTCTGGGTGTCATACTTTAACCCCAGCCAGCAACTAAGCACCACACAGCCACTCACTCACTCCCCCCTGGTGGGATGGGGGAGAGAATCAGAAGAGTAAAAGTGACAGAACTCGTGGGTTGAGATAAAGACAGTTTAATAGGCAAAGCAACAGCCGTGCACGCAAGCAAAGCAAAACAAGGAATTCGTTCACCACTTCCCATGGGCAGGCAGGTGTTCAGCCATCTCCAGGA